CTCAGTGAGAACCTGTCTCTAAATAAAATACAAAATAGGGCTGGGGATGTGGCTCAGTGGTTGAGTGCCCCTGAGTTCAATCTCCAGTCCCCCCCGCCCCCCCCCACACACAAAGGTTACTGTTAAAATCATACCCTTTGGGAAAACTTTCCATGAGCAGGATCAGTCCTAATATCACTGTATATCATTATTGGTAGCATCAAGTATCTCCCTGCATGATTCATAGGAAGCACCTATGAAGCACTTTCGCTAAGTTCAAGTTGAATCTAATCAAGCTACTAGAGTTGCATTATTCAATATGCTAGCCATGTATAATTATTTCAATGAGCCAAAACTAAATAAATGTACAGCTCAGTTCCTCATTTGCACTAGTCATATTCAAAGTGCTCAATAGCCATATATGGCTAGTGACTACATACTAGTGAATGCAAGTAGAATATTTTCATCATCACAGAATGTTCTAGTGGGCAGCACTATTCTAAAGCTAACTTCACTTGAAGCGAATGGGGGAGGAGAACATGTTAATAATAGTAATATCTAGAATGTGGGACACTGTATAGGACAACTGCCTCAGTCTGCAACAAGTCAATGGTATTAAAAGTGAAAAGGAGAAGGAAAAGAAGTGAAAGGAGAAGAAGGAAGGAAAAGCAAGAAGTACTAGTAGTGAGGAGAACTTCTCTAGATAGAAGATAGTTGAGACCTAATAACCAATTGTAATATATGGACTTTATTGGAAAGCTAATTTGAATAAACTAACTTATAGAAACTATCAGGAAAATTTGATTATGGTTTAAATATTAAATACCAAAAAATTAATTTTTATAGGTATGATAAAACCTTTGTGTTTATATAAGACAAATATTAACATTGTTTAGAGATGCATATTAAATTATGTAGTGATAAAATGATATAATGCTAAGGTTTTGCTTTCAAGGATTCAGTAAATGCATTAAAGGAATAGATACAACAAATGTAGAAAAATCTTGATAATTATTGAATCTGGGTGATGGATATATAAAGTTTCTGTACTTCTATCGTAATATGTGTTTAAAAATATTCACAACTGGGGGTTGTGACATTCACCTGTATGTAATCTCAGCTACTTGGGAGGCTGAGGTTGGAGGATTGCAAGTTCAGTGCCAGTTTGGGCAACTTAGCAAGATCTTGTCTGAAAATAAACTGGGGTTGTAGTTCAATGGTAGAGTACTTGAGTAGAATGGGTGAGGTACTAGGTTTGAGCCCCAGTACCAGCAAAAAAATTTCATAATCACATTTTTAAAAAATCAATATAGTTAAATTAAAAAAAATATCATAGCCTTTTGTGGAACTTCTGTCCTAAAATAGTCCATCAAAAGGATTCTTGGTGGCATTATATGCAGTTCTCTTTGATAGAAGACTCACATATGTATACAAAAAACATGATGGATCTCTTCACCTCTAATATAGGTAAGTTAAGCAAATTATTGTGGTATGTAACATTTTAAAGTAATTGAGAGGGAAATTCATTTAAAGGGGGAAAGAAGCACTGTGTTGTAATAACAGTGGTCTCCTAATACAAAACAGGAGCTGGAAATTTGAGTGTTCTTTAAGTGTACCCACTTCTCCAGAATTTCTCCCAGTACTAGGAGTGTTTTCACGAGAAAGAATCAAATTACAACTGAATGGCTTTTAACAATCCTGAAGTCATTTGGGATCTGGGCCCACACATGACATCTATTTCATAAAACTTATAAGAGTTCAGGAGTCAGACTATGTTACTTTTTGCCTTGTGTTCAATACACTAGCATTTGTAGGCTTAATATTTAAATAATTATGACTTCTCTTGGACATTTTGTACTATATAGTTCTTCTATTTAAACTTAATTTATATTCAGAAAGAAACTAATCTGCTCCTTAAGTTTCAGCTGGCTAGCACTATATCTTTGGGAGTAGTAAGCAAATTATGACACAAGCAATTTCTCAGAAACTTTATTTTGCAACATTAAAAAAAGCAGAAAAGAGTATAATTAAGTTCTAAAACTTGTTTAAAAAAAAAAAAAGAAGAAGACGGAGGCAGGCCTAGGGTTTGGGGATGTTGCTTAGAGGTAGAACACTTGCCTAGCATGCAGAAGGCCCTGGGTTTAACTCCCAGTACCATATAAACAAAGAAAACTTGTAAAATTTTAAAAAGTATGTCTACTATTTTGGGACATAAGATGCATGCTTTGAAGCCAGCAATGGCTCAAGATGAGGTTACTTCTTATGTGATTATATGTATTTCTCCTACCAAAAATATGCCTGTGTTCTTTTTTGGTTCTCTTCTGTCTTTATTTAATCTTGCATTTTTATTTTTATATTTATATTCATCTATTTACTCCTATTTCCATCCATTTATTCATGGCATATTCATTGAACACCTACTATGTACCAGGCACTGTTCTGAACAATTTAGGTACAAAGGTGAATAAGAAGCAAACTATGCTCATGAGCTTACATTCTAAAAAGTATTATGAAGGGCAAGAAGGAAATATCCAAAGTGATGAGATAGAAGATTACAGGTTAGAGAGCAAATGAGAATCTGGCTTAGATTTAATGGCTAGCTTGGCTCCCCAAGTGTATGACATCTGACCTAAGACCTTAAAAGAGAAGCATGACCACTAGCCAAGACTTTCAAATGAAAAGATATGCAGGTGAAAGGAACATCAAATGCAAAAGGCCAGGAGTCAGGAAAGAAATTGGTATATTTCAGGAACCAAAAGGAGGCCAAAGATCATACAAAGAGAACCCTGGGAGGGGAAAATTGTGAAGGGGAAGCTGGCGGGAACTGACACTCAAATTATACTACCACTAGCTTGCACAGGAACTTAGTTGTGGCACACAGTGCCTACCTCATACTTATCTTCTTCCTTGCTGAAAGAAACCCAGTTTTGTTTGGGTGGCAATGCATTCAACTCCAGGGAATGAATTATTATTCGTAAGTTCTAGCCAATGAGATCTAAGACAAGACAAGAAGAAGAGATTTGGGGAAAGGAGTAGGATCATATATATATGACTTAAAATGTGGTTGAAACATTCAAATAAAAATATGAAATCAGTAAGTAGAGGAGTTTGAGGGACTGGGGTAAAGTCTGGGCTTGATTTTAGTTTGGTGGCTGTGAATACAAGGGTTTTGTTGTTGTTGTTGTTTTTTAATTTAAGGCTACAGTGATAGATAAAATCTTCTCCACTAGTCAAAATCTGAGGGATTCCAAAATTAGAGATCAGCTAGAGGAAGGAGACTGAGAAGTATTCAGAGGTAGAAGAAAAACCATTGCCAATAATAACCCTAACAACAACTTGGCATTTATTTAGAATTCAGTGTTTATATAGAGCTTACTTTTTGCCAGGCACTGCTCAAAGCACTTTGTGGCTTCAAAGAAGCAAAGAGAAAAAAGTGTTTTCCTTTTCTGTTTCTCATTTTCTCCTTTGGCTTTCACTCCTACACTCAAAAGGCTTAGGTACAGTGTTTCTCCACTTTTACTTATTCATTGAAAATATCCAATTGACACAATACGGGAAAGCTAACTAGAAAATAAAAACCCTCAGAAACTTTCCTCCCCAGCCTTACCCACCAGAGGTAATCAAGTTTCTTGTATACCTTCCAGAAATTTTACATACACAAACACACACACACACACACACACAGACTTGTTATTGTTTATTTGTATGTTTTTGGTATTTTGGATTCCACTTGGGGGCGCTCTACCACTGAGCTACATCCCAGTCCTCTCACTAAGTTGCTGAGGCTGGCCTCCAACTTGTGTTCCTAATGCTTCAGGCTCTGGAATTGCTAGAATTAAAGGGATCAGCCACCCCATTCAACTCGTGACTTGTTTGGATACAAATAAGATCTGTACGGATTCATACATATATATCTAATTCCACAACTTGTTTGTTATTTAACTCAATTCACTTTTGAGATATTTCTAAATCAGCACACTTGTTCTTTATAAGACTAGTATCCCATTGTAGCAATATGACATAATTTAGGTCCTCTATTGATAAACAATTCTTTTTTGCCTTTTTCTTTCCACTGAAAAACATCTTTGTATATGAATCATTGAATATTGGTGCAAAATTCTTGGATACTTTCCTGGGATTGAAATTACTGAATTGAAGCACTTAAGCCTTTCATATTATTAATTTACTCCTCCCAAAAGGTTGTACAACTGACATTCTCTCCGACAGCATTCCTTGTATTTTGGTCAACATTTATTATTTATCAACTTCAAAAATGTGCTAGTCTAATCGACTGAAAGAAGAGTGGCGTTTTGCTGTTCTTATTTGAGACTCTATGAGTAGGGCAGCAAGATTTGATTAGTAAACATACAGATTTTGAAATTATACTTGCTTGGCTGGATTCTAGCCCTTCCTCTTAAATTAAATGTGTGACCTCGGGGATGTTCAGTCTATTTCTTCTCAAAAACAGGCGGCGGTGGAGAGCGGGGTGCCTGATAGTACGAACACAAATCTTTAGAATTAAATGAGATACGGATCACACGTTCAATAGGTGCGGTACTAGTCTTATTTTTTTGGAGCCGTGTTCACTCCACTGTTTTATCTAGGGCTTCCCTGTCCTCCCAAATTTTGCAGAACTCTCTTGTTGCGGGTAATTCGAAATGAGAGGGAAATTGGCTCTGTTTTTAAAAAATTAGCCCTCTCCATTTCCGCCTTAGACCTGCTGGTTTATATATCAATTGTACAAAAACAAGTTGCAGCTTTAAAAACACGCAAAGTGGACACCGTCCAAGTAACTCCCGCAGGCTAGGATCCGCCGTTTACAGAGTAACGAACACTAAACAACAGTATCTAACGCTAACTAACATCTCCCCACCCACGGAGTCATCGAGGACTGATTGGCAGGCTGAAAGACTTCCGAGACTTAAACGAGAAAGCGTTCCAGTTCCACGCGCGAGACTCAAGACCTGGGCCACGCCCAGCACACGCCCACCAGGAAGTGACGTACCGAGCTGAGTACTTCTTCTTCCGCTGTCCGCCAGTTGCGCGGCCAGGCCAGCGCGGGTGTACGTCGGCGTCGCTGCCGGCAGAGGGATTCTGGGTAACGGCCCCGGCTGGCTGGGGCGGCTGGCTCGGTGCAGTAGGTTCCATTCACGCCAAGTCCGTTGGCAGTGGCGGTTGTAGGGCTGCGGCCAGTTGGACATGGAACAACCGTGGCCGCCGCCCGGACCCTGGAGCCTCCCTCGGGCAGAGGGTGAGACTGAGGAAGAGAGTGACTTGGATGTGTCCCCTGGCTCTCCCCGCTGCCCGCCGCTGCCGGGCGGTGGCGCCCAGGTGAGGGGGGCCCACGTTTTGCTGGGGGATGGGGAGATGCTGGCGCCAAGCCCCCTAAAATGTCGCGTCTCTACGACCCGCTTCTGTGCCCACTTCTGCACCCACTACAACCCCGGGGGCCTGATGCCATTCCTCCGCTATTGTAGCATCTTTTGGAGTGAAGAAGCGGTAGCCATATATTCATTCCCAACCACCACCTCCACGCACACATTTTCGCTTACCTTGGATGATCTCTTCTCATCCTTGGAATATATTCCTCATTCCCTCTTTCCTGACAGCGCCCAGATTTGGGGCGGCACACTCGGTGTGACATTGACCCTTTGTCCTCTCGTGCGTGCTTTTTTTGTCCGAATACTTTATTCTGTTAAAGGCCCCAGTGTACTTATGCACATAGGAATAGTTAGTGGTTATACTTCAACGTTACACTGAGTCCTCACATAAAGATTTCACGTGCTCTTTAACCCACGTTAACACCTGAGCAAATTTTGTAAACCTCGGTTTTGATGCTGGCGCACACCTTCCAGTCGGGTGACTTTCCCTTGCTGTTTTGTTTTTAGTTCTGACTGCTTAATGACATTCTCCAGTGAAAACATACAGGCACAGCCTTTCTTTCTTTCTTTTTTTTTTTTTTTTCCAGACTCTTTGCTAAGATTCCTAATGCTACTTGTTTTCAATCCAGATTTCTTGTCTCTGCTTAACCAAATATGATATTTAGGATTTTTCTGGGTCCCATCGTAGGTAGTGCTTACATACTCATCACCTTTTCATATTTTTTCTCTTAACCTGAGTGTTTTGTGCTGTATTTCGGGATCATAGACTAAATACTATTATGTTCAACGAAATGGATTGTAGATGTCTGCCTAGGCTTTCTGCAGACTGAGGTTCAATAACAGCATAATAGAATTAATTACAGTTTTCCCTCAAAACTCATTGTGCTCAATGTTAACGAAGATGAGTGATTTAAATTTGTTTTTCTAGTAAGTATAGGATCATCAGTCTTATTTCAGCTAATGGAGTTGGTTGGCTTCACACGGAGAAAAGTGCTGTTTCATAACCACAGTCTGTACTTAGCCAACGGGTCACTGGGAAAGTGAGGCAGAATAAGAGTTGATGTGTCAGTAGTCACCCACTAATTATGGATCACTAGTGTCATTTTTATATACAAAATGTGTTATGAGCCTATAATGCATTACAGAGGTGAGGGAAGGAAGGAAGTATGAGAATGAACAGCAGTTGCTGTTGTCAATTTTAAAGGCAGATGGAGAGAAAAAAGTCTCAAGAATTTCAGTACATTATAATTGAATCACAAAAGTTACTTAAGAGAAACTCTTAAAAATGTATGTTAATCTTTTACTTGTGCACTTACAAACTCATAATAGGAGAAAAATATTTTATAAGTGAATAGGCTTATCTCCTTCAATAAATGTGATTTCCCTGAGGCCATATAGCTTGTTGTAGCAGAGTCAAAATTAGAATATGACTTCTAGTACAGTATTTTTGCCCACCTACTACACTACTCATCCTAGGAAATACTATAAAACTGTGTAGCTGAGATTACCTTTAAATAGTCTTCAGATTTGCAAAGTGATTTCTAATTTTAAGTTCAGGTTTCATTACAACTCTGCTTATTTTGTTTTGCTGACTTTAGGACTTAAATTTTTGAATTGGAATATTCGGGAAGAATAAAATGTTTAATCCAATAAATAGGCACTTAAAATTATTCTTTAAAAAAACTTTGGATTAATTTTTACCAAATATGATAGATTTAGAAATCTTAATGTAATAAGCAGTGTATGATTCTGAGATCCCAATTAAGGTAAAAGCAAATTAGAATATAGATATCCTTTTTGAGAATTTTTAATGTAAAGTTACTAACATTAGTGGACTTTAGCAGTTCCTTTTCAGAATTTATGTTCATTAAAAAATAATTATATCCATCTAAGACATCAAGGTCATGGATTAAAATATGACCTAATATTTTACTTAATCTGAATACATCCTAGATAGTTTGCTCAAGTAGCCAAATGGTATCTCTAATTGCTATGGAGAAGAATTTAAATAGAAATCATTTTTAGAATTGGTTTGATTTTTTTAAAAAAATTGTTTTGCTTCCACATAATTTGAAAATGTAAGGTATGGTATAGCTTTGTCTTTTTATAAATTAAGTTTTATAGTTTCATTTTTCTTTTTTTGACGCAATTTTTCAGCATAGCTAGTTTCCAGTTTTTTCTTTGATCTTATTCTAAGATAGCCAAAAGTAAAAATAAATGTTTTACTTGATTTACTTGTAGGGAACCTGGGCTACAAATCTGTTGAATGAGTAAATAAAACATCTGCATTATAACACTGTAGGAGGCCTTACTTGCTACTTGCCTTAGAATTCTTTACCACCTGACCAGTCTGTTTTAAGAAGTGAAGATTCATTTATTCCTCTATTATTTATTGAATGCTAGCCCTTCAAGAAGCTTAGACGCTGAAAATACAAATAAGTACAATATTATATGAAAAATATTATATAAAATGTGTATTATATCTTGGGTAGGAACAGAATGAATAAGAAAAAGCTTATGGGTTGTTAGAATCTGGAATGGAGATAGGAGTTTATCTAGAGCAAGGAGGATTGCCAAATTGAAGGGGGCAACAGGTTGAAGGTGGGAAGAATAAGCAAACAAATAGAAGACTACCTAGAACCGAGTCTGGAGAGATTATAGGAAATGAAATCATGAAGTACCATGCTATGCCACAGAATTTGCATTTTATTCCAAGAGTCTTAAGAACGAGTAATGTGATTGAATTTGGTTTTTTTTTGGAAAGATGACTCCAGCGTAGTGGAGTAGAGAATAGCTTGAAATGAGACAAACTATTTTTATAATTTAGGAGTAAAGTTATAAGAGCTTTTGAATAGTGAGATATATATAGGAACAGATTGAAGAGAAATTATTCTGAATAAGTAGTTTGAAGTTGATTTATATTTGGCCAAGAAATCATAATATGCCTTCCTCCTTTTGACTACCATATTGCTTTACACACAGCAATTAAGTAAATATCACTGCTAACTCGGTGGCACATGCCTGTAACTTCAGGTGGAAACAAGGCAAGAGGATCACAAGTTCAAGGCCAGTCTCAGAATTTTAGAAAGGTCCTCAGCAACTTAGTGAAACATATATACATACACACGTACACATATATATGTGATAAAAAAAATAGAAAGAATGTAGCTTAATGGTAGAGTGTCACTGTATTTAATCCTTAGTACCACCAAATAAATAAACAAAAAATAAAATACAATATTAAAAATCTGTAATTATTACTCTGAGTAGGATAGAATTACCAGGGTAGAACAGTTGGCAGTTACTAATTTAAATAACTTTGCCTATTTTTATTAGGATAAAGTTAAAGAATATCTGTCTGATGTAATCAGTTATAAATAGAAATTTCTATTAAGATCTTCTCTGATCACTAGGGATTGGGATAATACACAAAGAAAGCAGAAATCAAGAAATAATTATTTCTAAACAAAAGGAGATTCCTTACTTCGAAGAACTTGCAGAACAAAACTCTAAAGATCTGGTTTTCAACACGTGGAGTGTTGAGGTGGTAAGCTAGATTTAATCTTTATTCTCATTCTGTTGGTCCAGGATTATGAAGACTGTGAGTCAAATGTTGAGTACCAGCTATATGCAAGTCACTGTGATAGTTGCCAGACTTTGTGGTGTTATTAGTTGTTAGGGGAGGGACATAGGTTAACAAAGAAGCTTAGAATCTACTTGATGAAACAAGGCCTATAATATAAAAATGTAACTTGTAGACAAAGAATACAGGATAGGCTATGCACCACAAACATTGTACAGAGATCCTTTGAATAAAAATTTTTAAAAGAGTTGAGCTGTGCTGCACAAATATATCAATTGCAACCTTCATTTCTTACAAATACTATTTTTCTATTCAGATGTATAGCCATGGGATTGAGCTGGCTTGCCAAAAGCAGAAAGAGTTTGTGAAGAGCTCTGTGGCGTGCAAATGGAATCTTGCCGAAGCTCAGCAGAAACTTGGTAGCTTAGCACTGCATAATTCTGAGTCCTTGGATCAGGAACATGCCAAAGCACAAACAGCAGTATCCGAACTAAGGCAACGAGAAGAAGAGTGGCGACAGAAAGAAGAGGCTTTAGTACAAAGAGAGAGGATGTGTCTGTGGAACATGGATGCCATTAGCAAGGATGTTTTTAATAAGGTATGACCTTTTATTGGGCTATAAAGAAAGAAAAATTTAAGTATTTGTACATTTTGATAGCAAAACAAATATTTGTAAAGTGTTCAAATTTTGATAGTTTATGGAAAGTACAAGTACTCCAGCATTGTCTTAATTCTAGTAGTCCTTAATACAAATATATGACAATAGCATGACACATGGTATACTGCAGTTTGGGCTCTGAAATTAGACTGTCTTAAATCTCAACTTTATTACATGCTAGCTTTGTGACCTTGGACAAGTCACTTAACATCTCTTAGCCTTGGTAGCTTCAAATAAAGTAATGTCTTAAAAGTGTGGTAGCATAAAACCTGGTATGTGGTAAAGCTCAGATGTTACGAGTACTTTCTGACATTGCAATGCTGCATGCTTGCTATCAGTTTGGTAACACATTTAGTTATTGGACTTACTAGATAAAAATCTTTTCACTGTTTAGTTACCAATATTTAGTAAATTTAGGAGGTAATCTAGACAATGTCATAGTACTGAAAAGAACTTTTTAGAAATAGTTCAGACTCTTTTGTCTCTTAAAATAGTGTAGTAGTTTGTCAAGTTGTTTTAAGAGCAGTATTGTGTTTCTCATTAGAATATATAGGCCTTTTTCTTTTACTTTTGTAGCTAAAGAAGAAAAAGTCAAAGACCATTTATTGCTGGGAGAGTACAGAAGAACAGTATTCTTCAGACCATGGGGTCATGACCAATTTAAGTAGGCTATGAACACAATTTGGTGCATTCCAAGCAGCATTTTTTCTTTTTCAAGTAGAATCTGATAGAAAAGATCAAAGTGCATCCCACTTAGGGTCAATATTGTATTGAAAAACTAATGTTTTAGGTATTTGTGTGCATGTTAGGACAAAATGTACAATCTATTTCTTAATCTAAATAGTAGTCTAAAAGTTTAAAAGTTCTTACTCTAGAGCTGCAGACTACAGGCAGGTTTGTTGCACCCCCCTCCCAATGCCCGCCTCCCATCCCCACCCCCCCATATTAGAGAATGAACTCAGGGCCTGGAACATACTTAACAAGTGTTTTACAAACACTGAGATACATCTCCAGCCCTTTTATTTTTTATTTTGAAACAGGATCTCACTAAGTTCCCCAGGCTGACCTTGAACTTGCAATCCTCCTACCTCAGCCTCCCGAGTTGTGGGATTACAGGCATGCACCACAGCACCCAGCTTTGTAGGCAGTATTTTTTTTTTCCATTTTCTTTTGTTTGTTTTTGTGGTGCTATAGATTGAACCCCAGGTCTTGTGCATATTAGGCAAAGTGCTCTGTCACTAAGCTATATCAGTAGCCTCTACAGGCAGTTATAATTTACCAGGCTCAATTAATTATTTATGTAAGATAATGTTGAACAAATACTATATAAAAAAAGCATTCTTAAAATGCTTTTAAGGATTTAGACATTTTAAGGATGAGAAAATATCTAAATCAAAGTTAAATTTTCTCTCACATCTCATTTTGTACCCTATGTTTGGTAGTCATTGCATGAAGAGTTATTTTCATTCAGCCACCTTATTTTATAAGTGAAGAAATAGAAAAGTAAGTACAGTGACTTGATAACATAACAGTGGATTAAATTTGAAGAATAAAATCCTTACTCTGGGATTTAAAGACTAGATAAGGTAAAAAAAGGTGTTGAATATCCTTTACTAAAGATACCTTTAAGAATGAAAATGATGATGGGGCTAGGGTTGTGGCTCAGTGGTAGAGTACTTGCCTACCACGTTAAGGCCCTAGGTTCAATCCTCAGCACCACATAAAAATAAATAAATAAAATAAAGGTATTGTGTTCAAATACAACTGAAAGGAAATAAATAAAAAAGAATGAAAATGATGTCTATTATTAATGAAGATAACAGATAATAGATATTAATGATAGACTTTTAAAATCCCATATTTCCCACACTGCTCACGGGTTATATGTTTGTTTTCCATTTGAAAACTAGAGCTTCTAGAGATTTTTCAAAATGCATGAGAAGGAGGAGAAAGTCAGAGCCTAATAACTTTTTGGGGGTGGTGAAGAGGACTGGTGATTGAACGCTGGCACTTGACCACTGAGCCCATCATCAGCCTTATTTTGTATTTTATTTAGAGACAGTGTCTCACTGAGATCCTTAGTGCCTCACTTTTGCTGAAGCTGGCTTTCAACTTGCAGTCCACCTCCCTCTGCTTCCCAAGCTAGTGGGATTGCAGGCATGGGCCGTTGCACCAGGCTAGAGCCTAATAATTTTATGAATTAATGCTTTTAATATGGGATAAAGTAATATTATGCTGAAGCATAGCATTCTGTATTGAGCCTTACTCTGTAGAAATGTAATGTAATCTGTGAACATACTTATAGGCACAAATATTTTATGTTAACTTTTTTCCACTTTGCTAAAATGGCTAAAGGAAACATTTATCAGAAGCTAAAAGCTTTTGCCTTTACCACAAAGGTAGATTTTGTATATTATCCTCTATTAGTGTTCCCTGAACTTGAAGCAGGGATGATGTTACTACATTTATGTAGAGAATAGACAGAGATAGACATTCAGATGTCATCACTTTCCTTAATTAACCCATGAACATATAGGAGAGAATTTGGTTCTTTTTCAGCTTTTTTAATATGGAAAATATTATATATAAATATAAATTTAATATTTTAATATTAAATATACTTTATAATATATATGAACATATATATCAATATACACAAAGTAAACAGACAAACCCCATGTTGCACATCAACACCGTCATCATTCTGTCATTCTTATTTGATCTGTACCTTCACTTGCTTGATTATCCCTGAACCTATCCCTGCTTGATTATTCATTTGTTTATTTGTTTGTTTGTTTATTCTTTGGGTAATATTTTACTTTGAGGTACACAAATCTCATGTGTAAAATTTTAGTAAATAGCTGGTAGCCCACACCTGTAATTCCAGTAATTAAGTAGGCTGAGGGAGGAGGATCACAAATTTGAGGCCAGCTTCAGCAACTTAGTGAGAACCTGGCTTAAAATAAAAATATTAAAAAGGCTGGGGATATAGCTCAGTGGTAAAGTGTCCTTTGTTCAATCCCCAGTAAAAATTAACAACTAGATATAGTTATGTAATCCACACTCTATTAAAATGTATAAATTGGAACTTAAAAATCAAGTATTTGATTTAAATCTTTGGTCTGCAACTTATTGGGGCAATGAAAGACAGTCATTTTCTATTAATTTGTTAAGGGGAATTTTTTTGTATTTGTTCTAAATTTTTTTTTTTTTTTTTTTTTTTTAACATTTTTTTTTTTTTTTATTGATTGTTCAAAACATTACAGAGCTCAAGACATATCATCTTTCATACATTTTGTTCTAAATTTAACCCTTGGACTATAGAGATTGGCTGCTCATTCTTGTCTAAATCAACATTCACCCTGTCTTTAACCATCCTTATTTTCTAGACTTCTCATCCTATAACTTATTTAATTTCTGTCTTCCTGGCATCCACTCTCACCCACTCATTGAGCACTATTAACTGCCTCTTCTGGACCATCTTTGGTTCTACTACAGCAGTCAGTAAGACACATAGGTAAATGTGCATCACCACTAGCCATATCAATAATTCCTTCTTTGAGAAAATTTTTAATAGTAAAACATGCTTATTGATAAATAAACAATAAACAAGCATGTAAAATAGAAATTCAAAGGCTCCCTTTACATTTAGTTCTATTTTCCAGACATAACCTCTGTTAAGAATGAGTCATTTCTTTCTAGACTTTCTTTGTGCCTGTTCTAATTTATATATATTTTTCTCCCCTACAACAGGATCATTCTTCATTTAAATAATTTGCTATTTGTATAAATGTATTAAGGGGTGTGTCTTAAGTGTTATTTTACTTCTGTTTTACATTATACCCTCAAAATATTTAAAATAATTAAAAAAATTTTTTTCTTCCAGAGGGAACAGTCAAAGCAATGTTTATTTTATATAGTTAATGTTTCCTAACACAGTGCTCACAAAGAAAATATTTTCATTTTGTTTCTGCTTTTAATTGTTTCTTTAAACTTAATTTCTAACATAGCCTACATTTATATCACAAATTAATTAGGACTGTTTTTATGTTCCAGTCATTTGCTCAAAATCGTACATTGGTTTTGTCTGGGAGCTTGAGACTTGAGAGGACTGGTCTAGATCTGCGCTGTCCAACTTGATAGCCACTAGCCACATGTGCTATTGAGTGCTTGAAATGTGGCTAGTCCGAACTGAGATGTGCTGTAAGTGTAAAATACACACCAGATTCTGATGGCTCAGTATCAAAAAAAAAAAAGTTAAATATTTCATTAATATTTTTGTGTTGCTTACATGTTAAAATGATAATATGTTGGATGTGTTAGGTTAAATAATGTAATTATTAGTTTCATCTGTTTCTGCATTTTAATGTGGCTAATAGGAATTTGATATTTGTGACTTGGATTATATTTCTATTGGACAGTGCTGGTCTAGATGGCAGAATATATAAAGAGGAAAATGCTTTTATTTTGAAATGTATAAACTTTTGTGGGCTTCCTGGTCATAAACTGACAGAAAGCTGGTTTTACTTTTTATTTTGGGCAGTGATAATATCAGGGTATAAATGTAATCACAGAATGTTCTGAGAAACTATGCTGTCAGTTTCGCTGGCTAGAGATAAAAATAAGCACTTCTTTAATAGAATTTTGTACTCTATTTCAAGAATCAAACTTGCCTCTTAAGAAAAATTTATTAGCAATACAACCCAGATGTATGTTTTGATTTATCTCTTCTCAAAGAATTTATAGTAAATACTCTCTATGTGCTTTGAATTTATGAGTTTATTTCCAGCAGAATCCAAAAATTAGGCTAGAGTTGCAAATGTTCACAGGAAATGAATAGTGTAAACCTAAATTATTCATGTAAAGAACCTAGCTTTAGTAGGGCAACCATTTTAACAAAACAGTTTAATTCAGTTGTTTTTTTCTGTATGATTTTCAAGATAAATCTATAATTTTCCAGACACACATTACTTAAACAAAACTAAGCTCTCAAATGAAAAAAAATTTACCTTTTTAATGAAGAACTTAATAATGATATAATAGAATCATATTACACCACATTTTTATATTGTTTATTGGAAGAATTGCTAGACATTCATTGTCTAAGAAGATTCAAGAACATAAAATCCAACTTTAATATCTAAATTTTTTTCATAGAGTTTTATTAATCAAGATAAAAGAAAAGAAACAGAAGATGAAGATAAATCAAAATCATTTATGCAGAAATATGAACAAAAAATCAGACATTTTGGTAAGTCTACTCTCTGAATTTCTTCTTTATAATATTTGGTATCATATGTATATGTGCAAAAAAATGGATTTATAAAATGGAAACCAAAAAAAGAGATATGTAACAGACTCCAGTTATGTAGCTACTTCTGGAGATGTACAAATCTTATTATAGACATTTTTTGGGGTCATAAATAATATAGATTGATAGAACAAATCAAATTGTGAGGAAAAGCAAAATTCAGTCTATTAATAATACTTTCTGAAACCATCTTCTTTATTCCACGGTCTCTTTCCAATCTTGACTAGCCTCTGCTTTTTTCTTTCTTTTCTTCCTTGGTATCTGCTTATCCTTTTGTTAAAATATTAGCATTCTTTTTTTTTTTTAAGGTTTTATGCTGTGTAACTCAAGCAGGTTATTTAACAGTTATTCAGGTAAATGTAGTGATAGAAATATGTATGCAAAGAACTGATAGCTTTTCTATTGGGGGAAGAAGACTGGGATGAGGTCAATGTAAAGTGAAGGCTTCCCAAGAAAGGTGACATCTGAGCCTGCCTGTGAGGAACAGATAAAGAGTTTTCCATGTAGCAACCATGGCTGCATATAGAAATGCAGCCAGGCAACAGTATGTTGTATTCTAAGAATTATAGACAGTATACTACTGGAATGAAAATGCTATTGGGTAGTTTTAGGAGTTAAGGTTCAATTCATATATTTTTTTAAATCACCAGTAATATGTTAATTTAAACAGTACAAAAGAACACTATGTTCACAAATATTTTAAATGGCATTTTGAAATCTTTTTTTTTCCTGTTGGCATTTCTCCCAAAGTATTTAAAATTTCATTTATGCTTCAGTAATATCAGAACAATGGATAGTATTGTCAATGTTTTCCCATCTGTTTATTTTTTCATGAAGAATTTATTTTTTCATACCTCTTATTTAAAATGAAGAAAAACTTAGTATGTGAAGAAGTATAGACAAAGTCTGCATTTCTACATATTATTGTTGTGATGTTTTTTATATTTTTATTTTTTAGTTGTAGTTGGACACAATACCTTTATTTACTTATGTGGTGCTGAGGATCTAATCCAGGACCTCACATATGCTAGGCGAGCAATCTACTGCTGAGCCACAAACCCAGCCCCCATTGTGATATTTTTTATAATCAAAAAAATGAATAAGCAGTCCTCCCTTAGATAGATATTGAAATCTCTAAATGAGTAGAGCCTTATGTCATAATTTTTGTAAAAACTATTTGTCTTAGTTGTATTATGTGAGCTGCCATTCCCACCTACAGTCCCTGCTTTCTAGGTCTATGTGTTCTGCTGTAAGAAAAAATAATGCACCATCTACTGGTTGCTCTTTTAGAGCATACACTGATTCTGGTAGAACAGCATCCCTGAAGATGTTTTTACCCATCTAGTATTCTATAGGCTAGTTGCTTTGGAGCCATGGAACCTAGTAGGTGAGAAACAGTTCCTTCACTTTTATTGTAAACTGGGTGATCTGGTCAAAAGTAATTTTATGTGGGAAAATATCCCAGTTTTCACAAGTTGTTGTAACCCACCTGGTACTATGACTGAGTCTTTAATAAATAATTTCATCATTCTATAAAACCTCCTTCTGAGTAATGATGTTCAGGGTAAGACGAGTGATTTCATGAGCCTACAGTCATCATTTCTTTTGTTATAAATAAACCAAAAAATCATGTAGGATATTGAATAATTCACTTAGTAGGACCACAGATACATTACTGATAGAAACATGGTAAGCAAGAGGGCAATTCCAGATCTAGATTGGGCTTTCTCAAGTGAGAAATTACTGTCTCTTTAAGATGAAATGGGACCAAAATATGTAACCTGCTTCTTGATGACTGTATAGTTTCTCTTGTGTATGTTGCCATATTGAGGTTTTGGCATTGGTTTCTGCTACTGGCAGATTAGGTATCCATTGGCTGTGCTGAGTTGGGATACTGAAACATCCCTGATGAGGGAAGTCCATACTGTTGAATCTGTGCATAATCTCAAGCCTGTGCTACAATGACTCCTTAGTTTATGAAACTATTGTACGTGTAATGAGGTAGCTGAGGGTAAAAGCTAACTTGACACCTATAGGTCATTGATAAGCAAAATTGTTTTGAACATTGCATGTTGTAAACATCCACTACCTCATCTTGTAATACTAACCAGAGCATTGCTGTCTTCGAACCCAACCAGACTTGATAGCCACTCCCAGATTCACATTGTGCCTGTCTCTTAGTGGAAATACATATTGACTTTTCACTTTGGAGGAGATATCCTACTTGCCGCAGCACATTGGATCCACAGAAATGTTACTAAGGTAGTAGGCTCCCAAAATTTTCATGTGTTTTTTTTCTACTCTCTGGCATGCGTGTATCTTACCAAGACATCTGAGGTACCCAGTACTTCCTGCTCACCAAGTTCCATCAGCATAGAGTGGACCAACTTGCAGTTGTGGGATGATAAGTCAATCAAAATCTTCACTGACTAAATTTATGGCACAGAGATGATAGAGCCCTGAAGCAAGACAATGAATGTTTGATGCTATCCCTGCTTGGAGAAAGCACATTTTTCTAGTGTTGTATGCGTATTGTAATGAAGGAAAAAAGCATTTTTGAGAATGATGACCACACTAATATACTCCTTTAAACACACCTGGAATAGCAGCCGTATTTAAAGTTTTCAAATGGAGAGACTTTCCATACTTGGATTGCATTTCAGACTCTTGAAAGATGAGCCTGGTGCATGGGGGACTGTTTAGGATGTGGGGCTTCACACCAGTACTACTTTATGGTCTTTAACCTGTACTTATATTTTTTAGAGTTTTTCCTAACTTTCCCTTATGCTGTTTGTTGGCTCTCTCTCTTGTGTTGCTTTTACCCTTATAATTAGATGGAATTTACCATCTAATGATAAATGGTACAATGCTTATTGTGGAGTATTACAAAGTATTGAAATCTTGTTTTTCTACATTTGTATTTGTTAGTTTGATTCACATTTTATAAATACAAAATACTTAGATAAAAAACCTATTTTAGATTTCACTGTACAGTTTTATTCAAAGTTATAGGTATCTTTGACATCACTGTCTTTGTGATCTACAGCACTGCTTTTGGATTCATTTAACAGTTTTTCAGAGCACGTCATCTTCCCATCCAGACAAAGTTAGCAATGATTTGTCATTTTTTTGAATCTGGCTGAATTGTTATCAAAAGCTGTAAAAATATAAACTATAATAGGATAATGTATTCTTGAATAGACTATGAAGTAGGACAAAGAGAAGATTATGATATGATTTTAATTTTGTTTCTCTAAAGTTCATTTTCAAATAGGCTGGGAGGAAACACATAAATATTGTTAATATCTCTTGTGGTAGACCTGCAATTGATTTCTATGTTTTGGACTTTTCATATTCTTCATAATGTATATACTTATTTTTATAATCTGAAAAATATTTTTAAGAGTTCATCCTAAGGGGTGGGGGCTGTGGTTCAGTGGCAGAGCACTTGCTGAGCTTGTGTGAAGCATTGGGTTTAATCCTTAGCATCACATATAAAAATAAGCAAATAAAATAAAGGCATGCTGACCATCTACAAGTACAAAAAAATAAAAATAAATTTTTAAAAAAGAGTTCATCCTAAGAATTTTAGGATGGCTTAACATTAGAAATTTATTAACAGATTATGGTATTATAACCATAGAACTTGATAGTCAGTTTTAATGTCAGAGAAATGGAAATGTCAGAGGAATTTCTAGAATGTTTGAATGAGTAATAGAATCCAGGAAGCCTGTAGGTTGACAGAAATGGAAGAATGGGTTTGATTTTTCAAGTAAGATGAATTTATGTAGTCGTATAGGTAGAAATTGTTGGTGCATAGGTGATTGGAAATACAGGAAATTTGAGGCTCTGGAAATACACACACACAAAAAAAATAGTCATATATATGTCTTTCCTCAATAAATTAACAACCTAGCTGGGACATTATAGATGAATAGTGTAAAATGTTAAAATGTTTTCATTCTGTAAGTATAGTGCAAAAAGGAGAGAGAAATTAATAAGGATATGCATATTTGGGGACATTTTAGGAAACAGGTAGAATATGGAGAATTGGATAGATCGAGATTTAGATAGGTGTTCACCAGAGAAATACATAAATTAAAGCATATAATTGAAATAAATTGTCCAAGTGAAGTTTTTCAAGCTTTCAAAGAAATTGGTTGGCTAGTTTAGATGATTGGATTATCCTTGACCAAAGATTTAGCTTAATAAATATTTCTTATATCATGTTAGTAACCTGATACTTATTATCTATTTAATATGTGTCAGGCACTATTTCTAGTGCTTTCTATGAATTCATTTTATATAATCATTTAAAAATACTGTCGGGTATATTATTTACTTATAGCCCTGTTCTACAAGGAAATGGAGGCATGTAAAGGAACTTGCTCAAGTTAGTAAATGGTGAAGCGGTTATATTAAAAAGCAGTTTAGAATCTTTTTTTCCTAGCCATCCTGCTAGATTGTGTTATTCTTACATTTATTTACAAATTCCAAAATAACATCAATAGTTTTAGTCATGTTCTGTTCCTGTATTGATTCTCTTTAAGTATTTTATTCATAAAATTTCATAATCCCTCCACAGAGATTTGTATAAACTACCTGTAACTTCTCAATTTCCTAGTAATTCAGTATCTGCTTTTTTTTTTTAAGTCAAGTGATGACAATATTTCTCAGTAACAGAAAATCTGTGTTTAATTTCAAGTGTTAATTTTGTCTTGAGTATTACATAAGTTGTTAAAAAAAAAAAAACTTTTAACATGTAATGACACCCTTCCTCACGACCCTTATAAGTGCTACTAACCCCATCAGGGTTCCCTACAAGTATTTTTATTAACCCTTTCATACATTTCATAACCAAAATGTATAGGATTTTGATAATTCATGGAGTCACAATACTATCATGGAGAAGTAAAGAAGAAAAGCAATGCTTTACAGATAGTAAATAGAGTTGAAATATTAGCTTTTCAGAAGTATAAGAAGGTTAATCCAAAACTACTTCATAGGATTAATTTTATGGTTTCAGGTATAAGAAATAAGGATTTTGCTTTCATTTACTCTGACTTCCAGGAGTCATTATTAACTCTATACTTTGAGAAGTAGTTACTTAAACTTTCAGTATTCTGTTTCTTAGAATCTTAAATGACCTAATAATCATTGTCATCAAAGTATTGGGGAAATAACCCAAAGCTTATAAAACGTGTACAAGAAATGTTAAAACCTTTTTTATGCCCCCCCTTTTTCTTTGAGGAAAAGTTAATCATATATTTTCAACTGATTGCTATATGTTGCTGTGTATTTTCAGCAATAGTTTTGTTTGTTATTGTGTTCTACTTTGGAATTTAATATGTAGAAGTTCATTTTGTGTCTAGAGGAAAGTTTATTGCCAGAGTACTAAAACAGCCCTGTAAAATTTCCATGATGATTTGGTAACATCCATATTTCCTTGGGTGGATCTGAGGAGTGTAAAGCTGCTAACATTGTTATGTTGAAGTTATTCAAGTATAAAGCCAACTGGAAAAATTAAAAGTACAATACTTGTCTGGTTCTATGATGATTTGGTCATATTGACTTTGAGGAGATGTCTTATGCATATACTCTTAAGGTAGTATTTGTATTCATTTGACATCTTGAAAAAAATGGCAGCCATTTTTAAGTACACTTTACTTTTTAGAAATTTTTATTTACTGTGAGTATAAACAGACATCATGAGTAAAAAGCTAAAATAATTTAAATGATTATTTTTACTAGTATGATACTGGCTTCATTGCTTTACCAGTAGATAATTTTCTTAAATTGGTAAATGTCACCATTTTAACATACTGTCTTAAGTCTTTAAGTGTGCCAAGTGCAGTTTATTGAGGTTTTGCTTTCTTTTCCATCGTTTGAATAGAAAAGATTCTGTTCTCTGAGTAAATCAGATCTTTTACTTTAACCTTAAGATGACCGCTTGTCTCGATTTGCCTGGGACTGTGGGCATTTACAGATGCAAGACTTTTTTACTTTAAACTGCCCTTTCTACATTAGCTTCATTATCTGAAAGAAAACTTTCTGTGAATTTTGGAAGCTATTTCTAGTCCAGCGGCTATTGCTCTAAGAGTGTTATCCCTTTTCATTTGCCCTTTTAGCATACATACTGCTTTGGTAATATGAATTACCTTTAAAGAGAATAATTTTACATTTTCTTCACAGGAAGAAACAAAATATTTAGCATTCATGATTTCATATATATGTGTATGTGTGTGTATATATACATATACACACATACACATATATATGTATTCTTTTTTTTTTTTTTTGCAGGTATGTTGAGTCGATGGGATGATAGTCAGAGGTTTTTGTCTGACCATCCATACCTTGTATGTGAAGAAACTGCTAAATATCTTATTCTATGGTGTTTTCACCTAGAAGCTGAGCAGGTACTGTGTGAATCTTAAAATTTCAGTGTGTTACTTGGTCATATTGACTTTGTGGGAAATGTTAGTGGAATTCTGATTTCTTACTTGGTGTTTTGTTTATTATGTTATTTACTTTAAATGAAAGCAAGAAGGTCATTAGAATTCTAATTGTTTTTGTTTTCAGACCTACTTGAGTTTAATGTGGGAACTTAAAATAATTGTTTGTTAGCATATATAAACTTTTCTGGTGTGTTCTCTGCCGCCTCTCAACTGCTTTTGTTCCTATATCCTTTTTCTTTTCTAATTAGAAAGTGATGTTTTAAAAATCCAAATGGTAATCACATTTTAAGTCAGACCAATAGCATGGTCCCCTTTAATAATTCTGGTCACATAAAAATAGTAAAGAATTGAGATATACTCTTTATATGTACACATAGTATTTGACTTATAACTAAAAAGAACAAAATCAGAAGTAACCCTAAAGATTTAAAATTTGAATCAGTATCCCAATTAAATATGTTCTAGAGGTTTCTTATAATTTTATTTATTTTCAGAAAGGGGCTCTAATGGAACAAATAGCACATCAAGCTGTAGTAATGCAATTTATTATGGAAATGGCCAAAAACTGTAATGTGGATCCAAGAGGATGTTTTCGTTTATTTTTCCAAAAAGCCAAAGTAAGTATTTTTTGTTGTTGTTGCTGTTTTAAGGGTGTGCCTCCCCCACACGCACCCCCCCCACCCCCACCTACTCCACAGGCTGTACTAGGGATTGATTGAACTGAGGATCTTGTGCAAGTGTTCTACTACTGTGCTATTTCCCCAACCCAGTTATTTTGTTTTGTTTTGTTTTTTTTTTAAAGAGAGAGAGAAGAGAGAGAGATAATTTTTAATATTTATTTTGGGCTGGGGATGTGGCTCAAGCGGTAGCGCGCTCGCCTGGCATGCGTGCGGCCCGGGTTCGATCCTCAGCACCACATACCAACAAAGATGTTGTGTCTGCCGAGAACCAACCCAGTTATTTTGTATTGTTAAATGGGAAGGTTAGGTCATAGCTGAGACCCCTTTGTTCTGTACACATCAGGAGAAACCATTTAACCAGAAGGCCACAGACTGAGTCTTAAAGGAGCTATTCTTATATAATCTTTTATGTATTCATACATACTTTCTTATGACTGATTACTATAGCATTTATGTGAAATTGAGATCCATTCAAATGAATGTGTATATTTGGATAGTTTATCACTTATCCATTCAGTAACTATTGAGTACCTGCTAATGGAAAGCATAACCATTTCAGAAGTGGAGGATATAGGATATTCACAGTTTAATAAGAAATAAGACTTTGTAATGGAAAAATTAAGAAACAACCCAAAAATTCAATAGTTAGAGGAATGGTTAAAAAAAAAAAATACCTGTAGTATACATAAATTTTTGCAGCCATTAGGTATTTATGGAACATTTTTAATGCTCTAAGAAATGTTTATGCTGTAAGTTTAGAGGAAGTGGTACATGTTTATATAAACACAAAAATGTTGGCTATGTCACAAAAAAATAGATAATGTCTGCAAAGCTTACCATTTCACTAGATGAGTAAAAATTTGAAAGTTGCCCAAGAAGTAGAACAGTTAGAACTTGAATTCACTGCTAGTGGGAATATAAATTCTAATAACCATTTGAGAAATTTTTCTAGTAAAATTGAACAATCACATAAGTGAATACCCAAAAATTCTTTTAGGTTTATACTCTAGAGAATATGTTATCAACATGTAGTTGAGGGACCCCTGAGAGTCTTTAAAACCTTTTCAGGAGGGCCTTCATTAGTGATTAGAAGTATTTTCATGATAATATTGATGGTATTTGCTATTTTATTCTTATTCTCTCACAAGTGTACAATTGAAGTTGATCCCAAAGCAGATGTGATAATCTGTCTTCTGTTACGGTAGACCTTAGAGAGGTTTGCAGAAATTAAAAATGGCACTGAATTAGTTTTGGAGAATACAATTTTCACATGCTTTTTATTTTTTTTATTTTTTATTTTTTTAAAGACAGGTTGTCACTTTTTTATCCAGGTAGATCTCAAAACTCTTGAGATCAAGCAATTATCTTTTCTTAGTCTCTCAAGTAGCTGGGACTACCAGCATATGCCACCATGCCTAACACTGAAAAATAGTCTTTTAAAATAAAAATGTTATTAATGGTAGTATGTAATGAGTTTTTTACTACTATTTTTATTTTCCTTAGTTCCTCACTTTTAATTTCTAACAGCAATATTAACAAATGTAACCCACACAATTACAGGTCTTCAGTAATTTTCCTAAGCTCCAAAGTTTGACTTAGTGCAACTCTTATACCTATACAGTAGATGCCAAAATATGTAGCTTTGTCCATAATAACAAAAAGCTTGAGAACAACTCAAATGTCTGACAACAATAGAATGAATAAACTATGCTATATTCATTTGGTAAAATACTAACCAGTATCAGTATGGATGAAAAAGCTGGGAAGTGAATAAAATAAAATACAGAGTGATATAATCAGTATCAGTTTTTAAAGTATATTTTGATAAAGATCATATATTTAAATATTCTGTATTTTATAAAATATTTTTATAGCAGGCAGAGGTAAGCAATATGTAGTTGAGGGATATGTGTATAAGCAGTAAAATTAAAGAAGCAAAGGACTGAGTCTAATGATAACTTAGGTAGGGAGGAAAATTTCTCTTCAGAACTGGTTTATAAAGTACTAGTAGTGATCTATTAATTTTTATGGGTACAAGGTTGTATTTTTGCTGAATAAACTACACATGTGTATCTTACATGCTCTTTTGCACACAGGATATGTTTTAGCATATAAAATTAGAAGTTCAAAAGAAATATACCAAAAGGTGTTTTGGGGGGATGGAGGGAGTGCTGGGGGTGGAACTTAAGACCCTGGCAAGCACTTTACCATTAAGCTACAACCCCAGTCCTCTATTTTTTAATATTAAAAAAAACCTACAAAGGTGGCAACAGTTCTACCTTAAAATACCCTAAAACCCTTCTGATGTAGAGTTTTGATGAGTTGGTGTTTTAGCTAGGTTTATGGTGACTTTTCTAAATTTTTATATGGCATATAGGAGCTTTTTTTTTTTTCATCGTGTATTAATGGATGTATTTAAACTGGTGATTAATATGATAATGGAACATGTCCAAAGTGTATACATTCTTTGACAATTTAACAAAGTAGAACTGAAAGGCACTGAAGTCTTACGTCTTACATTATATTTTTAATATATTTTTTAATTAAGGAATAATCATAAGATGCTTACTTTGTGCAAGGCACTTTATATGGATTAACTTATAAATATTTGTCATGTTTTATGAGGATTTCTGTTCTTATATCGTAGATAAGGAAACCTGTGTAAAGAAATCAAGCACTGTGCACGGTGGTGCATGCCTGTAATCCCAGTGGCTTGGGAGGCTGAGATAGGAGGATCGCGAGTTCAAAGCCAGCCTCAGCAAAAGCAAGGCGCTGAACAACTCAGTGAGACCCTGTGTCTAAATAAAATACAAAATAGGGCTGGTGATATGGTTCAGTGGACAGTTGCTCCAGGGTCCTCTATTTTATGCATTGAATCTCTTCTATCTTTTCTATCTCAACCCCCAATATTCTGCCACCAAAAAAAGGAAGAAATTAAGCAAGTGGCCTATATGGATTACTTAATAAAACAAAGTCAAATCACTCTAGATCTGAATCCCTAGGCCTTACGCACAGGGCTAACATTCTGTTTGTCCACGTGACTCCCATATATTAATTAAAGTAAAGGTGCTAAAATGTGATTAAGGAAATTATTATGAAATTTATGAAGATGGGAAGGCAGTAGAATACTGTTTGCATTGTTTGTATGCTGATGCTAATGACTAATTTATAGAGGTTTTAACCTGGTTATATAACCTAAACTTCATTTGATAAGCTCTCTTCCACCACTTGAACATAAAGCCAGCATTCTGTTGATATAGAATATGTTACATGTCATCATAAGTCATTGTATTTTTTTCTTTCCAAAATGTTGGGAGAAAAAGATGTACCTGTTTAACTAAAAACACAAAGGTGTTCTCCTAATGAAGTAGAATGTTGAGTTTTATTTGGTTTTCATAGAGAATAAAGGGTCAGAAAATTATTAGAAGTAGGCAATAGTTTCCCCTCATTAATTTAAATCTTTTTAAAGAATATCCTGTGACGGTTTGGCAATGGTAAGAGAATGGAATGAATGTGAAAGGTGAAATGAGGATTTGGGGGTCCTGTTTAAGATCCAGATAAATCAAGAGAGATAAGAGAAAACCTGTTTTACTTTTGTGAGTTCCTATTAGCTTGTTTTATTTTGCTGAAGCAGTAAGAAATGGAACAAATTAGTCATTAATGTTCCTATAAAACAAGTAGATGTCACAAATCTGAAGAGGCCATAATGATTTCTACATTTAGACTGTTCACCTTTTCTTTATTTCCTCAACCAGCTGTATTGTAAGCTTTTTAGAATTTACTCTGGTTTTGAAAAACAGTCTGTCTTTTGTATTCTAGGCAGAGGAAGAAGGTTATTTTGAAGCATTCAAAAATGAACTTGAAGCTTTCAAGTCAAGAGTAAGACTTTATTCTCAATCACAAAGTTTTCAACCTATGACAGTTCAGAATCATGTTCCCCATTCTGGTGTTGGATCTATAGGTTTATTAGAATCCTTACCACAGGTAAGTTAGAGAAGTTAATATTTATTTTGTAAACATATTAAATCATAGTTTTTGTTATTTTGGAGTATCTTATATGTGATACACGTGTGACTGTTTTGAATATTCTTGCCTCAAAAGGTAATCCTTAGTCCTGTTTTATGCATTGAATCTCTTCCATCTCTTTTCTTAAATGGATTAGCTTCAGAGCATGCATGAAAGTGGTAATCAAGGTAGTCTACTACATGGGTTTATATAATACCATCTCTAGTGGTGGTGTTGCCTATCAGATGTAACACTTAGTTCACATTAATATAGCTTATAATATTGTGTCTGGTAGTATCAACAACTACTTAAATCAATCTTTAGATCAAGATAAAAACCATGTCAACAGCATCAGAGACTTTATAGCAAAAAGAAGAAGGAATCAGACCACTCATTTAGCTGATACTATTCAAAACTCAGTTCTAAATTATTGGTAGATAGTTTCTTCCCATTTGATTGTAGTGGAAGCATCTTAGTCCAATCATCTCTCATTTCCATGTGCCAGGATTTTAAAGACCAGTTTATTCTGTTGCCCGCATTGTGAGATGGAAAGTCTCATTTAGTAGACAAGATGAGGAGAGTCCTAGATTTATTTTTAAACTTCATAAGGTGATAAAAGATTGATATTTTTCAGTGTCTTGACTTTATGTCACTATAATTTCACCATTCCAGTCACATGTATTGTAGGCTTTATAAGGAAAGCAATTGATCATATTTAACTCAATCAAAATTATCATTTTCAAGGATGGAAATCATCAAGTTCTGATTTTTAAACAATTAATAGTACCCCCCCCCAACTTGTAAGAAACATTACCTCTAAAGATTTCCTATATAATATCAAATCTTAAATGGTATTTAAATACAATGGTGAATTTTACTTCCTGAGATATAGCCCATAGGGAACTAGTTTTTCCAAGGGAATTTTATGACTTAAGTCACTGTCATATCCAATATATAAACCTCCTAAAATCAAAATGTTACATGATTCATGTGGACAAGTAAAAGAGACTTTGAAAGTGTTTGATTCAGTAAAATATCAAAAAGTTGCCTCTGGAATGGGGGAAGTAAGTTTTTGGTAAATATAACAGATAGTAACTGATAATAACTGCAAGGCATCCATTATACTTATTTGGCATGGGGGGGCTAGACTCATGATTCTGACTTAATTGCTAACATTATCAGGGTTGCTTAGACTTAATCTGGCTAACAGAGCAGTTCCTCATAGAGTGAGAATTTTAGTATCCTAACCTAATCTGCCTGAGGAAGAGGAGAGCTTTAAGATTTCAGCTATATGCGCAGTATTGTGGACTGGCTGAGGGAAACAGGATGAGGGGCCACTTGAGGGACCAAGTTGTCAATTTAGAGGAAGTTGGAAAGAAAATCTTGCCACAATAATATTCCTTTTTATATCAGTTTACAGGTTACAAAACACTTTCATGTGTTTTATTGTTTAATCTTCTCAAAAATACTATGGTTTATTTTCATTCATTTTTATGGATAAGTAAATTGAAACTTAGGTTAAATAATTTGCCTGAAGTCAGTTGAAGTGTATGATAGAGCTAATATTCTAATCCTGAATTTCCTGCTTCACCGCCTATTCACTTGCATTACAGACTGTTGAGTCATGTACTACAAATAGTGCAAGATAATCTGTGCTTTTAGAAGACACTTGTCACCGAAACAAGAAAATTTTTGAGATGAGAATATGAGTCAACCAGTGTAATTTAAGCAAAGTCAGGTTAGGCATATCAATTGCTTTTTGTTTTCTCAAAGTGGGAGACATGATAGCCTCAAGACAAATGAGTTCTGGAGAATCTCCTTAGCCAACTCTCAGAATACAGGATAGAGGCAGGATTAGAACTGAAGTTCACGATGAATGTCCCAGACCTCAGTCAGTTATTGGTGTCACTTCTTTCATAAAGACCTGCTTGGGAATAATTTATCTAGCTTTTTGGCTTAAAAAAAAATTTATATAATATTATACTTTATTAAGAAGTTTTTGAAAACCCTTTCTCATTAAGGTATGGGAAGGTTTAAAACATCTGTGCCATTTGCACTTTCCTCACTGGTGTTTGTTAAATAAAAATAAATTAAACTAGGTGATGACAATATTTGTAAAAGTATCTAGCAGATATTTAGAATGACGGGGTAGACCAAATTGAATTCTGGGGAAAAATTTTCCTGAAATCCTGGATCTTAAGGCCTTATTTCCTTAATAGTAGTGCTTTAACAAATCACGGTTTTATTTTTGCATATATTGGACAAGGTTTTGGTTTTTTATCTTAGTTTAAGAAATGGGCAAACATAACATTTATGAATTTTCTTTCTATTTAAAGAATAAATATAATCTCAGCTGTTCTTTTATTTAAAATATGGGTCTATGTACTTCAGATTTTTTATTCAAGCTTATTTTACTCAGTAAGTGGATTTTCCCTCTGTAAAGATGTTTTGCATTTTTAGCATTTACTGCTATAATTCGATAGTAATCTTCAAAATTCAATGCAGCCTTCAAGCTACATTTATTATTTAAATTATCAATAAGTGTATACATATATTACATAGAAGATTAGCTGCATACATGGCCTAGTATGAATAACTAAAATGATAGTTTTGTTAACAGGATAAGAAAAGGTGATGTCTATTACATTTCTGTTTACACATATTCTGTCTTTATCACATCTTTTGGGTTAAGCAAATAATAGCCTACTTTTTATTTATTTTTCCAGTTTTAGCTGGTCTGACTCCAAAGTCTATCTTTTTTCCTACTTTGTTATACTGTAGAGAATTAGGATGTGAAAATGCATATGTGATTATGTGTACTGGCATAAAACTGGTTATTATATATTCTTTTTTTTTCTTCCTTTCCCAGAATCCAGATTATCTTCAGTATTCTATCAATACAGCTCTCTGCAGTTTAAATTCAGTGGTACATAAAGAAGATGATGAACCCAAAATGATGGACACTGTATAATTTGGTTAAGACTGCTGAGGCCAAGTGCTATTTTGTTACAAGAAAGGAAGAACTTGGCTATTTTCTTGACACTTTTATGGGTGCTGCACTTTATTTTTGTTCGGTTTTTGATGGGAGGGGAAAAAGAGTACTGAAATGTTTTGTAACTTTTTTTATGTGCTGCTAGGTTCTTTGTTTTGTTTTGTTTTGTTTTTGAAAGGAGAAGTGGTACCATATGTTGCAGGAAGTCAAACTGAACTCTTTTTTTCCCCCTGGGTTGGCTACTAAATTTGCCTTTAACCTAATTCTCAATTTTGGAATCAAAGTATGAAAATCTGCACAAATGCAATGTTTACAAGAACTGGCTGATTCTAGGAGGCATCTGCTACATAGTCTCTTTTTATATGGATATGGATATGTCCTATTCTACAAAAATAATTAAAGATAAAAATGTACTTGTATCCCACTGCTAACTTAGCTGTCAAATCTGGTGTTTCATCATATTAAAAGCAATAAATCAGTAGTTGCTAATCTACTTTACTAATAAGCTGGGTGGCACAAATTTTTAAAAGTCGTTCCTTTTAAAATAATAATGTGTATTTTCGGCACCATCAGTTAAATCCTTGACTCTATTACCCCCTCAGTGTATTCTCAAAGCTTTTCTTTAGAAGTTGATTTTACTGTTGACTTTCTAAATAATAAAGATTATAGTGATGAGCTCATATAGGGCTTTTTTTTAAAAAAAAAAACAACAAGATAGACTACAAGCTTACTCTTAATTTCTTTACTTGACATAGTCTGGGATCTCTCAGGGACTAAGTTTTAAAAGAATACTAATGACCTGTAAGAACAAACTGGAAGAATAATAAGGATAAATCTTGTAGAGCTAACTTTCTTAAGCTGCCAACTACTCATATCTAAGAATTTGGTAACCCTTAATGCTAATAATGGCTTTTACTCCACTTGTTAGTCCTCTCTAGTTTAGCTACCATATTCTTACTACTTCTTGCATAATTCACTTCAAATGTACTAGAATATTTGGTGGCTTGTTTTATTTAGATTAGATGACAGTGCTAATCTAATTTGAAGATTTATCTTCTCACAGGAACATGAGCTTTGATTGTATTTGAGTGTAGTCTTTGGTACCCATTAAGACCAGTAGCAAACATTTGGAAGCAAACATGGAATTGAGAATACATGTCTCAATTCAAGAAACCAAATAATGCTAAAGGATCAGATCTGTAAACTTGGCCTCATTTGTATCTTGTTTTAACTGAGGTGATTAGGCATTAGTACCCATAGAAACAGGCTGGAATTATTGAATCGTACTTCTGTAATGTCACAATTTTCCTGTTTTTCAGAATAAGTCTTTTTTGTGCTTTTGATATTATTATATACTCTATAATAAAATGTTTGACTAATTTATATGGTAGTATTCATCAGCCTGTAATTTTTTAAACCAATGACCTAGTCATAGAAAGTTTTCTTCTGGAGTGTGCTGTCATCTTTCCCTTTGTCCTAATTGGAGAGAATGGACACAAAAACAATATACTACCCCCGTTTCCCAGAAATGTTATATGAACCATTATTTACCACTTCTTCAACTTCACTTTTCCTCTGAACTTGCCTGTAGTCATCCAAATTGTTTTTGACTTTCATTTTGTCTTCTTCCAAGTTAGAGCTATTAATGGCTCTGGCTGACAGAGCCATTAATAGAAGAATGGCAAGACAGAAAGAATCCACAAATTGAGTAAACTATTTCTGAAAGTTTTTTTTTTTTAATAACAGGAATCACCTCAGAACTATTCTGTGAAATGTGACTATTTTTTTAAATATGATTCTTTTTTTTTAATAACTTTATTTTGTTTCTATGTGGTGCTGAGAATTGAACCTAGTGCCTCACGCATGCTAGTCGGAGCGTGCTACCACTTACTTGAGCCACATCCCCAGCCCGACTATTTGTATTTTTTAACTATCAAAGGAAGTGATAACTTTTAAGTATAGAAAAGTGTGATTTATTTGAGGGGGGGGATAATTTGCACTTTAAGACTATAACTTTTATATAATTAGTAATTTAGTACTAAGAACAGTAAATTGACATCTTGGTTTTTTTTCATTTCAAAAATGTCCTCTTTAATACTGAGAACCAACTCCTATCGAAATAAATGTACTCTTTTCTGTTTCTTAAGTAATGAAAGATATACTAAACAAAGGGATAATTATATTTGAAGTTGAACAATTTTCCCTAAACAGGCTAAGCCCATGGAAAACCCAAACTGAGGAATGAAATATTTTTGACATTAAAATATTCAACAGAATCCTGTTTTACTTGATAAAATTAATCTTCTAATAAAATATTTTTTAAAAGGATGAAATAGCTATCATTCCATTTATTCTGGCAATTATTATGTCAATAGTGATGAAGACAATACTGGTTTTAAATTATTGCTCTAAGATAGATGGCTAGCATTCTTTTCTAGTAATACCATTAGTGGGCTCTTTGAAATTGTTGCCTAATGGGCTCACAATCTCAAATTTTTTTTTTTTTTTTGGAAAATCAGGCTCTTTCAGAGTAGCATTCATATTATCCTTTAAAAATAAATTAACATGTTATCTATAGATTAGTGGACTTTCTTACAGGATGAAAAAAAAACTAGTTTTAAGTTTGTCTAGGAAAGGTATTTGGGAAGTAAGTCTTGGTGTATTTTCAGGAAAAAAAAAAAAACCAAAATGTCAATTTACTATGCTTAAACTCATGTATTTCAGTTCTAAATTCATGTGGGACAGAAGTATTTGTCTGGTTTGAGGTTAGATTTCCCATTTCAGTTTTGCTACTATGTCATACACATTTAAAGACCCTAAAATCCTATGCATCTGTTCCCATCTGTAATGACCATGCGGATACTATTTCAGAGGTCTTCTGAGAAGCTGAGTCATCTAGTAAGTATTTGTTTACTTACTATGTAAGTGAATTGGGGGAGTACACAGAAATAAGTTGTTCATGAATTGCTTAAAATCTAATAATGAAGTTGAAAATATTCTTATAACCCTTGAAGAATTAGATTGAAGTTTTGTCTTTTCTAAATAGAGAAAATGATTTTTTAAATTCCCACATCATTCACTTTTGTTTTTGGTAGTACTAGGGATTGAACCTGGGGCCTGTGCTTGCCTACCAAGTGCTCTATCACTGAGCTACATAACTAGCACTGCTCCCATCATTTTTTCTCTATTTTTAATTTGCAACAGGGTCTTAGTTGCCCAAACTGGCCTTCAGCTTGTGATCTTCCTGCCTCAGTCCCCCAAGTATGTGTCATTTTGCCTGGTTCACTTAGTTCTTTGAGCAGTATGATTCTTAGAGGCTGTTCACTCTTCAGTTAACTTGAATCATTTGGGAAAATATGACACAACACTGTACTGATTAACACTTTGGCCTTAACATTTAGTTTTACTCAGTGCTACATATGGACAAACTCCTGATCATTTGGAAGCTAAAAAGGAGGGAAAGAGGTGAGTAGACACTACAGATCATAAGGCTTTTACTAGTTTTTAAGCACAGCTAGATTATTTTAACCTTAAATTTTTTTTTAAACCATAACTTCCAGGACGAAAATCTTTAATTGCAAGGATAAGAAAGCTATTTCTGCAGTTTATCAATGAGGATGTTTTCTTTTATCAATGAGAAGACGTAGTTTGTAAGTTTTAAAATTATTCTTGTTATTGCTTGTATTACAGCAATTTAATATAATCTGAGGTCTGTAATTGCAATGATTTGATGTTAATATGGGACATTTTATTCCAAACCATGAGTGTCCAAAATATTTTGCTAAGATGCCATTGTATGTGGCTGGAGCAGGCAAAAGTAGCCATAGGCTTGGTTTTAGTAATTTAAACAATAATTAACCTATTTGAGGTGGAACTAAGAGCTAAAAAAATTTCTGGATGGTGCTAACTATTGCCTTTATGCATTTCCCACTTCATACTGACTTTCCAGAAAGGAGGGTGGTTTGAGATATTGTTCTCCTCATCTTTTAATCTCAAGAGTAGTATCTCCTCCTAAACCATGCATTCAGCTCCAGACATATTTCCATGTGGTACATGAATTGTTATAATGGTCATCACAGTATGATTTTTTTTCCCCTGCAGGAGGCACTTAGCAACAATACCCTTAATCAGCATTGTATGTGACATTAGCTCATCCAACACTAAACAAGTTCTTTTTGTTTTAATTAAAAAAAATACATATTTCCCATAAAGTAATGCATGCATGTGCAAAACTTTGGTTAAGTGTTTAGTAGTGGGGAAGGAATGGTCACAGAAGACAGTCTTAATTTTCATAGTATATTCTTTAATTCTTATTGATTTCCAGATCTAAGGCTGTCATAAAAGCCAGTGTGGCTACCATACTATATAGCAGGGGATAAAGAATTATATAAAATCAGCTTTAAAACCTGTTTTAAGACAATTTATTAGAACAAAGGCAATGAGATGGCAGGGTAGCAAAAAGGAAGGTGGGGTGGGGTGGCCCTTGTAAAGGACCAAAGACAAAGTAAGTAATAGCTACAGTGCTGAAATTTCATTACATTCTAATAAGGACTGTATGCCTGATAACCAAGTGGTAATTCCTAAGTTTAGTAGTTTTGCAACATTTTTAGGAAACACATAATATTAACATGTTTTTAATAAGGCATTGTAAAAGTGATATGATTACTGTAATCCTTTAAAAAAGCCTTGGTCCATTTCAAAAGATCAACAATAAATTTTAAAAAAATCAAGAGGAAAGAAAAATAAGTTGTATGCCCCACCCCAAATACATAAGAACCACTTGCTGGCATTTGTTTTGTATTTTAAAGGCCTTGGAATAAGATGGGCCAGATTTTCAAAGGCAATTAATAGCTTGTACAAGGACTTGATTCATTTGATTTTAGCACCAAGGAAAATAAGAGTCAGTATCCCATGGAAGACACAGTGGGTTTTTCCTCTACCTCTCAAATTGCACAACTTTTACCAGGCCAGGATATGTAAGCATGCATCCTTGTTGCCCTGCTAGGAGTTTAAAATGATTTTAAGTTTTAAAATGGCTGCTCAGATGACACCAGCAGAGTTCTTTCCCTTTAAGACAGGATGGCAATGAACACTATTAAGTATCAATTTCTTTGATTAAAAACAAAAATCTCCTTTAAGGAATAGTTACTTTCCTGGTCCTTCTTAACCTATCTTGTAAATTCTCTATTGCAATATGTGTTTGCCAGTTATGTTGGTGTTCCTTAAGAGAATATCCTCCAGGTATGCCTGATCTATTTCTATTTCCTTAATGGTAAAGTATGCCTACTTTACATAGTACCATGGGTTTCCTCTTTTCTTTATTTTTTTTTTCTTTTTATTTTTTCTTGTTTATCAAGGCAGAGTGTATGTTTAGATCAAGAAAAAACTGACAAGTTTATCTTAAAACATACATTTCTTAACCTGAGTAACATCTGAAAACCTAAGATTTTATTACGTTTTCCACTGAAGTCAGTGTTGGTGCTTACCTAAGAACTTATACAATGT